CACAGTCAATCCCTCAGAGCAGTAGGACTGATACCGCCTGGCAGGACAGAATTCCACGACGCTGAACAGGTGCTGCGTAGCGCCTATTCCAAGGGAGGTATCCTTACAAGTGCCCTGGTAAGTTACAACGTACCGACCCGAACGCCCACCACGTCCGCCTGCCCACAAATGGACGACCGTACCTGAAGCTTGTATTGGTTTATTTGCTGAGGGGAGTTCAAACTTATCGCGATGCAGTTGCAGCGCTGCAATTGTAGCGCTTCAGTTGCAGCGTTGCACTTTAACGTGCACTTTAACGTTGAATTTTAAGGTACCGTCCGACTATTACTACCACAATTTTCCGAAAAACGGCAGGGTCCTGATTGACTTTTTCGACGGAACAGCTTCAACTGAAAGTTGGGTCCGATGGGTAATTGGACCTCCTGGACACTAATATCAATTTACTTACAAATATCATATTCATTTTTGGCGCTGGATGGTAATGGAAGACGCGCGATCATCTGCGCTCTGCTGAGGCTGAGCCTGACCTGAAGGAAATCACATTTTCTTCAAGGCTCAGCCTTAGAAAAGCGCTAAATGGCGCTGGCGTTGAAAAATAAATGTCATAGTCGTGATCAGGGCACCGTTCACCCCCCCCCCCTTTATGGCCAAATGGCGCCGGTTTGGCACCGCCACCTTTCTCACCAAATTCGCTGTAAATTTGCATACCAAGTTATGTGCCGTGATCACGAATACTGAATTAGTTTTCAGCCCTGACGCCATTTGGCGCCATTAGGCGTTTGGCGCCACACCCTTTTTTATCAAAATCGATAAAAACCTGCATAATGGGGTTGTTTGATGCCCTGATCACGAATATGACATTTATTTTTCGACGCCAGCGCCATTTAGCGCTTTTCTAAGGCTGAGCCTGGGAGAAAGAGTGATTTCCTTCAGGTCAGGCTCAGCCTTAGCAGAGCGCAGATGATGGCGCGTTTTTCAATGAATATGATGTTTGTCATCAAGATGTCAAAGAACCTATGTATACAAGTTTTCAGCGCATTTGGTGATCTAGGGTGCCTTGGCGCCGCGTTCAACCGCCCGGCGCCTTGGCGCGGGCGCTGGGCACTTTCAGGCCAAGTGGATGTGATATTCGTGTTCAGGAGGTCGAATTACCCCTAGAACCCAACTTTCAGCCAAATCTGCCCCGCCGAAAAAAGTCAATCAAGATCCGGTCTGTTTCCATAGTCGAACAGTACCTTGAAATTCAATGTGAAAGTGCAGCGTTGCAATTAAAGCGCGACAATTGCAGCGCTGCAACTGCAGCGGCGCAGCGATGCATTGCATCGCGGCGCATCGCGACAAGTCTGAACTAAGCGAAATATGAAGCGAAGGGATTGGTATGAAGCGGCTGCGGTGCTGCATGGATATATGAGTACATACGTGCAGCCGTACCTACCGTAGCGGTTATTGGCAAGATGCCTACGGGAAACTCGTCCGAAATTGCTTTTGAGTCATTAAGAACGGAGGCTTTTCTTCGCAGTCACTTATAGTTAGTTATG